TTGGGGAGGTTTTGGGGGTTCCTTTAGGGGATTTGAGGAGGTTTGGGGGTCTCTGAGGGTTTTGGGGTGGTTTTGGGGTTCCTTTAAGGGATTTGAGGAGGTTCGGGGGTCCCTGAGGGTTTTGGGGTCCCCACAGGCCCCCCAGGACACGCCCTGGAGCAGCTGCACCCCGAGGACATCGTGGGGGTCACGGCCAAAACGCTGCGGGTGAACCCCGAGACACTGCTGAGGGAACTGCGGCCCCCAAAGGGACCCCGACCCCGGTACGGGGGGATTCGGGGGGGTTTTGGGGTCCCTGGGGGGGAATTGGGGAGGATTTGGGGTGTTTGGGGGGGATTGGGGGTGTCTGGGGGTGATTTTGGGAGGGATTTGGGGTTCTCAGGGGGGATTTGGGATCAAGGGGAGATCTCCCTGCAAATTTTGGATTCCCATCAGATTTTGGGGTCCAGGGGGTCTCTTCCATCAGATTTTGGGGTCCCACACTCTCTCCCCCCTCTCCTGTCCCCCCTGACCCCTCTGTGTCCCCTCAGGTCCCCTCCCCCGGCCGGCCCGGCGGCTCTGGGGGTGGCCCTGCAGGAGCTGGCCCGTTTGGCAGCCGGGGTGGCCCACGAGGGGGGTCTGACCCTGCTCGAGGCTTTTGGGGTGGCCCCGATCCGGGACCCCGCGGCGCTGGCGGCGGCGGCCGAGCTGAAATCGCTGGGGTCGATCCTAAAAGGGGCCCGGTGCGCCCGCAGCCCCCGCTTCCCGCAGCAGGTACGGGATTTGGGGGGAATTTGGGGAATTTTGGGGATTTTTTGGGATTTTTTTGGGGATTTTTTGGGGATTTTTTTGGGGATTTATGGGGTTTGTGACCCCGCGGCGCTGGCGGCGGCGGCCGAGCTGAAATCACTGGGGACAATCCTGAGAGGGGCCCGGTGCGCCCGCAGCCCCCGCTTCCCGCAGCAGGTACGGGATTTGGGGGGATTTGGGGGATTTTATGGGGGATTTATGGGGTTTGGGACCCCGCTGACCCCTCCCCAATCCTCCCAGTACGCCCAGTACGCCGCCCGGCAGCAGCTGCTGGAGCAACTGGAGGAGCTGCAGTTCCAACTGTCGGACCAATCTCTGCTGCTGCTGCCCGAGTACCACCAGCGGCTCGAGGTGAGACCCCAAAAACATCCTGGGGACCCCAAAAACATCCTCAGAATCCCAAAA